CCAATATATCATGTGACTATTTATGATTTATTATACAGCTGCAATGATTCATTGATTAATCGATTAGTCGAGCAACAGAATAGAATAATCGGTTTAGTCTTACATAAAGGAAAGGAACGATTAATTGAATAATCGAGTAAAATAATCATGAGTTGCAGCTCTAATTTATTATTATGCTACTTATTGCAAGTCTCAATCTTAAAGATATTCTGTATTTATTTAAGCAAACCCTTGTGTAAATCTCGGTCCTATAATCCAGGATGGTTGAGAGTAGAGAAAAGGCATCAAAACAGTAAACCTTGAAGAAGTTTGGTCAGCCTTAACAATTACTATACTCTAAACCACCACTGGTTGCAGGCTGTTGATACTCTCTCCTCTCTAGGTGTCTATCATGTCCGACTCGGTTCAGACCACCTCCGACAGTCTGTGTAAACTCGTCCGCTGGGCCCACAGCCACGGCACCATCTGCAACCTCATCCCCAGCCTGCAGCACTTCACCTGTGGGTCCTATTGTAACGTGCTGACACCAGACCCTGGTCCCCATGGCAGCAGTGTTCCTGTCGCTATGTGGGGTTGTGGTGCCGGACACGCCTACCACTGGCCCCTCAATGACTGTGGCAGCGGCCGAGGAGGCTCAGCAAACACCAGCCAGAGCCAGGACAGGTTTGTTCGAGGGCGTTCATCCAATAAGGTAAAGTAGAGTTAATAAGGTTACCAAGATAAGATTGTTCACACAGGATTTGAGAGCCAAGTCACCCCTCTCATTTGGGGATTCTGAAAACTAAAAGAGACAGTTGTAATATGTAAATTTGAACAACAAAGGCCACCTTTCTTGGCTTTTGAGCAGCTCTTCAAAAGGAGTAGTCTAGCAAACCCATTAAGGGTTATTCAGTCTTGAAACGCAGATTCTAAAGGATGCAGTGATTGACAAAAGTCTTCTTCATTGTCTACCAGAAATCAGTTTTTGAATACATTTGCAGAAATATGGTTGATTTGATTTTACTCTTGCAGTGTTGGAGTTGCTGTCTACTAAAGTGTCTTTTTTGACACCACCAGTGGTTTTGCTTTTAATCTGGGCTCTAGTGATTTAGTATTTTAAATCGCAGTTCCAAAAAGTGGTGTGGCTTGCAAGAAATGCATTTAAAAAATAAATGTCAAAATAAATCACAACTTTCCATAAAGTACAGGTGCAGCTTTAAAAATACTTGATCCTACAATTCCCATACAGAACTCCATGCCATGGTTTGTAATGCAGGTGTCCTGTAAAAAACTTGTAGTCTTCAAGCCCGAGCCAAGATAACCCTGATGACATCATCATCCGAGCGTGAGCAGTACTAATACCATACGGCATAAACGTCCTTACCTTACAGGTGACAGTGAGGGCATCATGTGACCTCTCTTGTAGCGAAGCAGCATCAGAGGCTGAGGAGTTCAGCAGCCGGCTGTTCGACATGGCCGGCTGTGATTCGTCGGCCACAGACGATGATGCCGACTATGAGCCTCTGCCATGCAGGAAAAGAGGCGGGGCATCGGGAGGAGCAGCTGCCGGGAAGAAGGTCAAGCAGGAAGTAACCTCAGCAGAGGATTTTGACACTGCTGCTAACATAGCTAGCACGGGGCTAGTTGTGACAGAGGCTGTCAATGTTTTACAGACTTGTCAGGCACCAAACACACACTGTCAAATCACACACACACTGTTGCCCAACAAGACCCTCCCACCCTGCCCCCAGCCCCAGCACGGACAGGATCTGGGGTGTGAGGGATTAGTGGACCCAGAGATGGGGCTGCTGGGAGGAGGCAGCTGCATGACAGGGACCACGGAGCAGGCTGAGGGATGCAGCTCCGCCACAGGGACTACAGAGAAGACTACAGGTACAGCTTTGTTGTGAGTGTCCCCCCCCCCCCACTCAAAAATGATTGAAATTCATGTTCATGTGTGTTTGTACCCAGCTGTCTGGCTTCCCGTTGCTCACTGTTTGTGTGTTTGTGTGTGTGTGTAAATCTGCAGGGGGGCAGAATGAGCTGGAGCAGCTGCAAGCGTTACTTTGTGCAGAGCGCAGCCGCAACCAGCAGATGACGGAGATCATCTCAAGTCTGAAGCAGGACAAAGAGCTGCTGCAGCATGAACTCACTAAGAAAGCCGAGCTCATCTGTGACTTCCTGCAGGACAAACTGCGGCCAGGTGGAGTTTTAGGGTTGGAAATCCACTAATCGATGAATTAAGTCACTATAAAAAATGATTGCTGCAGTGAAAGCAAATTGCAGTGCTTTTTAAATAATAGCAGGTTAGCAGTTTGTATTTTTGTGTAGCATCTTTGATGCAAAGTTGTAATTCAAAGTGACTCCTATAATGTGATGTGATGAATGTATTAATAAAATAGATGCAAACAGTAAGAAAAAACAATAATAAAATAGATTATACTGATCAAAATAGACCAAAAAATAAAATAAATCACTATACCAATCAGCAATGAGTGCTCTAAATGTCGGTATGAAAACTATGGAAGTCCATGAGAGCCAAAATCAAAATGAAAACACAATTAAAATGAACACTACTGAAAAAAAAAATCCTGCATGTACTCTGATTTAAAATACTGTATCTAAAACATTTAAAGGTGTTTTTTTTTTTTTAATTGGTATCTTATAACAATAATCAAAGTTGTAATTTTTCTATTTCTGATTCTAGAGAAGAAGTGGCCTCGTTGCTCTAATCAGATGGAACCGGGAAGTTCGCACATGACCTCTCCTGATGATGTGGCTGGTTCTGATACGCCAACGCTGTTTGACTCATTTGAAGAAATGGAGCTTCACCCTCTGAAGCTCCACCGGACCCTGAAGAGCAAGAGGAGCCGGGATGGAGAAAACACCCGAGTCAGGAGTAAGGACATGATGTAACGAGGAAGATAAACCACACTGTAACAGAAGGGTCATACTGTGGTTATAAGCACCCATAGAGTAGAATGTATGGTTATTACTAAATATTGCATTCATCTGCTTTTTGTTTGCGCTGGTGTGTCTCTCACTGTCCCTGTACGTCTCCTCTCCAGTGAAAAACGTGGTGGGTGTGATAGCGCGCTACATGACTGCCCTCAAAGAGTTTTGCCGTGGCGTTTCCATGAAGGTGGCCTTCGACCGGGTCGGTGTGGACCGCAACACCATCTCCCGTACAGCGGCCATAGCAGAGCTCAGCCTGGCCGCTCCGGAGGTGTTTCATGCACTGGCACCGTGGGACGAGAAGGAGGAGACGCTGGCGCATTATTCCCACCGCTGCAGACAGGCGATGGATGACAACATTAAGGCCAAAATCAAAACGATGAAGGCAAAAGGCGAACTGCTGCCCATCGTATCAAAGTGACAAACAGATAGTTTGCGGACTCAGTCAGAGGCCTACAATGCACACTTCTTGTACTTGTAAAAAGACAGCACAAACAGAAAAGATGGCCACATTTATGTTACTTTGGATGTAGAAATGAGTCTTTATGCCTCTTAGGGTAAGTGGATTTCTCCTTGTACGGTTGTGAAACATCTGTCCAATGTTGTGACTCTGGAAAGAATAAGTGCTTCTTCAGTTCTGTCATCAAACCATTAATTTATGCTGCATTCATGGCAGCTCATTTTAATCAAGTTTCAACTTTTAAGAAAAACATTAAAAATGATATATAATGACTTATTGGTTCATTCTGTGGTGGTCACTCAGAGCACTTTATAGTTACAGTATAGTGTAGTATATAGTATAGTATGATCAATTAGGGATTTTTTGTATTCAAGTTTCAGTGACTCAAAAAAAAGTTTTTTATGCATAGTAATACACTGCATGTGTTGTTTTGTGTACTGCCAACCACTGTTTTACAATAAACTACTAAAAACAGTGAGCATTATGAAGTAAGGCAAGTCTTTTTTCATTTTAGAGAGGGAAAAATATACCTTCATCCATAGGTATACTGTGACATAAAAAAACTTTAAAGAGTGGATGGTGAGAAACTAAAAAGCCTTTAATAAATATGGGCTTTCAAAACAGATGTCAGTTCACATTTACGCAGAATATGGATCACTTTAAAACTGGATATGAACCGTCGAGAAGATCAGAAGTGGGAAGGAAAACTCTGAACTGGTCATAAAACCCTGTCATGTGAACATAGCCATGGACTACGCATCTAGACCTTCTGTCCTCTGTCTTTATATTTGCAAAATAAAAATGCAATTCAGTATAAATAGAACTGAATGTAACAATTTTATTTCCACATATCGATACAAATCCATTACAAATGTAAAAAACCTGTCAAAATGTGCACTTTATGGGAATCCATGTGATTAGTGCAGTGAAACGTTTGTTTTTTTAGTCCCTGGACGACTTCACAGGATGTTTCACAGCCATCTGGAACTTTTCCTCAGACTGTTTTGAAAGCTTTTCTAAATTCAGCAGCTAGCTTGTTAGTCTGGAAAATGTAAAAATGATAAATTCACACTCCCCTGAGATGGTTTGCAACATGACAAACAACTGTCCATTAATCACAGACTTAAAAGAGGAAGCTGGGAGAGACGAGGGTTTGATGTGCGTGTATGTTGTTTCAAAGCTTTGTCTCACGCCGGGCAGCAGGAGGCGGGGGTGTCAAGACTCCGGCTCCAGGCGTGGAATGACAGGGAGGATGAGGTTCCCGAACGAGGAGTCCTGAGTGATGAAGAAGCCTGAAGAGTGTGCGTGTGCGTGCTGCAAGAGAAGACACAGTTAGACGGAGGTTTGTATGAGGGGTTGCTACAGACAATCACCTTTTGATAATCGTATTGATTAAACAAACAAGATATAACGTGTCTTTAGAGGTACTGGTAAACAGATTATGTTACCTTTGGACAGAGGGTTCCCCCTGTTTCCAGTCTTTATGCTAAGCTAAGCTAAGCTAAGCTAGCCGCCTGCTGGCCTTAGAGGCGAGAGAGTGGTATCAATCATGTAACTCACGGCAAAAGAGTGAATAAGCGTAAACGGGGTGAACAGAGTCTTTACAGAAGAAAGAAAAAGCTCACAGTACAGCAGCCATGGAGAAAACAACAACCCATTTTTAGTTTATGTAGAGAATGTAGGAGGTGTAAGTTCAACTTAATGACGTTTTTGTGTATGAGAAAGTGTTTTTTGAGTCTCATTATACTTCTGTGAGATTTTTTAAGTTGCCTTGAAACACCCCCGTCTCTCTCAAATAATGATTTTCAGACCTCAGACTTCAGCTTGTATTGGAACACGACTCAGTGCAGGTGCCTTTGTGATTAGGATTTGCAAACAAATATCATGAAGTCCTGCCAACCACAGGAAAACTCACTAACCCTGACTGAAAACCTAACTGGACATTTACTGACTAACATTATGTACCACTATGATTTAATAATCAACATAAGACGTAGTAACTTCCAATGAGGATGGATTTATTTCTCAGCTAATGAATTAGCATTAACAGTAATTGCTGTGCGTTTTACCGTGTTGCATTTGTGTTTGTGTCTGTCTCACCTGCAGGGCAGCTTTCTGCTGGGCAGCGATGTGCTGCTGCTCTGCGTTGTCCCTGAACTCCTTCAGACTCGGTCTGGACAGCGAGATGCTACGGGGTGAGAGGGAGGCGAGGGCAAGGTACAAAATAAGTAAATATATATACATCCTTTATAATGTTAACGTGTAATTCAAGATTTACTGACAATACATTCTCATATATATTGATATATACTATGATATATGACATCAATACTTCAATTTCCTCCATTAAAAGGGTTTCTCTAAGGCTTTAATTAAGGGAAAAGTCCTGGTACCCTCTGTGGCTGTGCACTATCCCTACCTGGCTCCAGGTGTGTTCATGGTCTGACTCTGCATCAACCGTCTCCTCTCCTTCTCCAGCTCGGCCAGGATCGCCACCCGTGTCTTGTTTGGGAAGGCTGGATGGATAAAACCAAAAGAAGATGAAGAGAGAGAAAGACAACAGGGAAAGACAGAGGGATGAAAAAAAAAATATGTATTGGCTAACGTGACTTACTTCATCTAATGAAGGGCCACAGTTTGAGTAAATGCAGATGATTGTTAATCCCAAATTAACTGACACTGACAACACACCACGAAGAGGTAATACAGAAGATAATGTTTAATGTCATAAAGTTATTTAATGCTTTACAGACAAGAATGTGTAGGATTAGGATGACATTTGACTTAAACAGTACTTTTGCCCTCACTTTATATAACTAGAAACTAGATTTCATTCAGCTTCCCTGCATCACATCCTGTAGATTTTTTTTAAAATTATTATCACTTTCTATAGAGTCACTGTTTGAGAGGAAAGTGACAGAAGTTATACAATTACAATTAGCCAGTTAGCTATAAGAGGAACCCCAGAGCAAAATGCTTTCAGGGGGTCCAGGATTTGCAGCTACGCCCCTGGACCCGGTTACACATTGATAAAGACAAAAGAACTTTAACTACCAATATAATTTGTCCCTAAACAAAAGAATTACCTTGTCCTGGGGGATTAGTAGCCATGTCGGTGTCGGTAGGAAGAGGCAGGTGAAAATAACAAACTACAGGAACGATTAGCTAACCTATATGAATGATTGGGCTTCAATTGTGTTTGTGTTTCCTTCCGCCCAGCTAATGTTGCACTGGTGGATAACAGACAACCATAAAAGTCCCCTCGGATGATAAACGTAACTCAAACTTGAGCGGGATAAATGACGAAGACCTTGCTGTTGTACACCAATGAAACAGTAACTGAAAGTTTAAAATAACAATAAAACTCTTGGTTATGTGCGGTCGGTCGGTCGCATTTTGCCTCTGGAGACCCTGTACCGGTTTCTCACTCAACGTTGGGTAGGCTAGGTAGATAGAAGTGAAAGAAGAGGTCTCTCTCTGCTCATATCTGCGGAACCCAAAACGTGCATTAACCAAGACAACGTGAAGGCTAACAAACAAGAATGATGATATTTCCTTAAAAATAAAAT